TCCCCCCCCCCCCCCTCCACTTCAGACATACACCACACACACACACACAATCCCCTTTGTCACACAAAGCCTCTCTGCGTTTGAACTTTTAGAGCAATTTGATAGTTTCTCCCCTACTTTTAATTGCATGTAGATTGGGTTTCAGAGTATGGGGGGATTCACGCAGAGAGGATAAGAAGCGGGAAGGTTACACTCCTTTCATTTCCTCACACAAGGCAACAAGCATGTCTTGGCGGAATAGAAGACAAAACAGCACCGCAGGAGAGATGGATGGCTGCTGTGTGTGTACTGAAAGCTGAGACAGAGTGAGAACCTACAAAAGCCTTGGAAGGGACCTTGTCCTGAAGGTGCTCATGTTCATGTTCACATTCTTCATCCTAACACCTGTACGATCTGTTCTTTGAGAAGTGAATACTAGCTATATATGTGACTTATGGCCGATTTGGAGCCATAACACGTACCTGCAAAGTGCTTGGCTTTATGAATAATCAATTTTTATTTATTTATTTACAGATGCACAAGGGAGCAGGATGAATCTATAACTGTTGCCAAATATATTTTTCATTTGCATCTTGGAAATTAATAATAAATTAAGATTACACAAAAATAAATTATTTGTTAAGTTGACAGCCTGGAAGTAGATAATACTGTATGATAATATTTGAATACTCTGCTGCTTCAGCAAATAACAACAACACTGTGAACGCAGCAGGGGCCTGTCATCTAAAGGTTTACAGTGATTAACTGGATTAGGTTCATGATGACAAGTACAAGACTGATTCCACATCAAACTGCACTGCAGCACGAACATGTCATTAAATTCTTACAACCTTTATTTGACCAGGTGGGTAAGCTAAGAACAAACTCTTATTTACAGCAGTGGCCCTGGCGCGGACTCCTGCAAAGTCAACAGATATGCTGTAAAACAGCGGGACTGACAACTTTCCCAGTGATCCGATTTAATACAAAACAGAGCATGAGCGTTCTGCCGAGCAATGCACCCACCATCTTTCACTAAAATCACACTGCGTGCACAGGTGAGAAATAATCTTAGCTTGGCTTCCTTGTGGATTTGCTAAGAAATAGAGTATTACAATCAAATTTATTGTAAAGTGAGGAAATCTGGGACCTGGATGGGGGAGTAGGAAGCTTCAGCTGGTGAGTCAAAAACTAAAGAACTAAACAGTTCTGCAGATTCAAAAATCAAATCAGTGGTTTACAAAAGATTGATTAAATATTAAAGGGGCAGTCTGCCTCAGATGCAGGGTGAAAAGCCACCTGAAAGACTGTTTTTTTTTTTCCAACATTCGCATTAATCGTGTTGTACTTGTTTGTTCAAACAAACAAAAGTAGTTATGCAAAGACCTTTGTAAAAAAATAGAGAGCCTGAGAGAGAAGTTCAAACCCTGCTCATTTTCTCATCTTCAAACAAATGGCCAATCATTAAACGCTGAACACAAGCCCCTCAAATTCCAGTGTCAGAAATGTGTGTCCTCAGTGACCCTGGAGGAAGCTTTCCAGTGCTTTAAGAGATAACCCCTTATGATGTCATCAGGGTTATCTCATCTAGGGCATGGGACAGAAAGCCTGCAGTACAAACCCGAGATGAGAAGAAGTTTAGGAGGCGGGAAGGGTCTAATGAAACAATGCTATAGAGTTGCATAATGGAAACTGTAAGATGTAGTGTATTGGGAGCTCGACCCATGCTAGAGGCTGTAGCTCAGGATACTTTGGTTTCTTTTCTTTCCTGTGCTGTTTACTGCTCCAGACAGAGTGAAACCATTTCAGATCATCTCCCTCCCTGCCCCCTTGCTTTCAAACACATATGTACCTGTCCCACTGCTCATCCCCCATCCCGGCACTACCTCCCACCCATGCACACTCTCCACACTTGAATGCGCACAGGAATGCAAGAGGAATGACACAATCCACTGAATGCTAAAACCTGGTCAGCCTGGTCCACTCTCTGCAGCTTCGATGAATGGACATTCAGATACACAGACAAAGCTGAGATTCTGTGCGGGGTCAAGGGTCAATGAAAGCACCGACAGATGTAGAAACCAGAGGTGAATGCCCATGTCTGTTTTTCAAGCAGTGAATCACTCCGACACAGAGATTCACACACACCAAAAACACAGTGTATGGCAAAAAAAAAATAGCTTACAATAGTCAGTCATTGTTATTTATCTCCACTACATGGAAGCTTCACTTGCACAGCTCTGCACTTTGTGGGCCACACTAGAGCAATAGAACAAGAAGAATGAGTCAGTAACACAGAGATAATCAAAGTATATTAATCAATGGACCTAACCACTTCTTGAAGCCCTGGCAGCTTCGCCTGGTTATAAGGTAGGTCTGGAGATAGGAGAGAGAGAAAAGTGTGTGTGTGTGTGTGAGTGAGTGAGTGAGAGAGAGGGAGAGAGAGGGTTTAAGCCTATGCTGTGCTATAAGCTGCTCTCAGCCCGAGGCACAGAAGAAGAAAAGAACATCTCTTCATGATTAAAAGGGGTGAGGACCAGGAAGGGAAACACAGGAGAGGACAAGCTTAGAGCCCTCAGGGGTAAAAGCTCTCTGGAGAAACAGAAGGCAAGAGGAAAGGCTGCAAGATGGCAAAGTGGGTAAAATGCAGCAGGAGTGAGACTCGATTCTCTCCGCTGCAGTCTCCTGTTTCTCTCTCATTATTAAAATCAGGGCGATAGATGAAAGGCATGTTTTCCACAAGAACCACAGAGATGGCAGAAAAATACCCAGTCAGACGTTTTTTACTTGCACATATGCTATGATCTGAGACAGCTAAAGAATTATCTAACCAAAAGATTTAAAATAAGACAATTAGAGCCATTTATTTTGTTTGCATCTGTGAGCACTGCATTAAAACTCAATTAGAGGAAAAAAAGGCTCAAGCCATTGGAGAAACATCAGTGTGTTTTGGTAATGGTGGAGCTTCTTTGTTGTTTAAATTTGCTCTGAATTCAGGACATAAGTCACCAGGGCAACGTGGACAGAACAGCCATCAGACTGAACACAGGTAAATTGCGTGGGATTGCATTTTCAGGTCAGACGGGGACGTCCTATGACGTCTATAAGATGACGTCCACATCTTCCACCTGAGGTATGAATTACTGTGATAAGACCAAACATCTACAGAGGCCATCTGACATTTTAATAAGCTGAGAAATCAGCCCTTCATGGTAAACACTGCTGTGTATCTTTATTATGAATACTGAATACAGATTAGCCTACACACAGCACGGTATTCAAAACATACTGAATCATTATCTCAAAGGTGATTATTGAGATCTTCAATATGAAGACCACTTTTCCCATAATCCTTAAAGGAATCTCGTGGACTCTTGCATGGCAATACCAGTGTTTTTGTCTAAGGCCTAAAATAAACTTTATGTTGGGAAAGGGCCACATTTCACCACATTTGGCCTTGCTCAAGAGAACCCCGCCTTCAGAACTCATATTTGGTGTGCATTAGCCATTTGAATGCATGTTATTTATCACATCTGAATGGACTGTGTGTAAATTGCACTTTAAACCTCTGGAAACCCTAGAAAATGATATTATAGAAATGCAATGTAAATATCTGAGGAGCTATTAGCAAAAATCAGCTCCTTGTGAAAAAAAGAATCAAATTATCATCTAAACATTAAAAAAAAACACTATAAAGCATAAAGAAGAATCACTTTACTATGGCACAAAAGGAAAACCACTTTGTATTCAGCATAGCTGTTTGTATGCAAGTGTCTGAGTAGCTGTTTAAGCTCCATTTTCCTGATTGACTGCAGGTCTCTGAGCTAGCTGGGGACAATTATACATGACCTAAATGTCAAAAAGGCTGGTATTATCCTTGAGCAGATGCAAAGTCTTTGAGCAATACTTTGACATTTTGAACTCCAGTCTGTTATTCTCCATCAACAAGCACTTGTAATAATGTGGCTGCACTGCTCATCAAACAGGAGCTCAGCAGTGTTGTTAGCATTCCACTCTGACACCATTGGATGCTGCTCACTGCAGCTAGCCTGTTAGCAGGTTTTCCTCTGAAAAATGAACAAACTAGCTTTGTGTAGCTTTGGGCCAAAAGCAGAAACATCTCTCAGACCACACAACCAGCATCCGTTTAAGGAAAATAATCCACTAATTTGGGTGGGGTGGGGGCTTTGCTAATCAAACGGCAGCTCAACAATGTGGTTAGCATTTCGTTCTGAAAGCTATGGTTACTGCTGGCTGCAAGATAGTCTGTTAGCACCATTTTTGTCTAACTTTAGGGCGAAAGCTACACAACAAAGAAATGAAAGAAGATTAAATTGAACTCCAAAATGTCAAAGTAACCCTTTAAGGTTAAGGTTTAAATCTTACAAAATGTAATCACTTGTGACAGATTTCTGATTTATAAAACTGGCATTGAAATTCACTAAGACAACTGAATGGCACTGGAAGATTAGGGAAAAATGAATACAAAATAAGAAAATGAAAACTACACCAGGAAATTTTAGTTTACATCATTTAAAACACATCCGAGGCCAGATTGCTTCCTTGGTAAATTTCTATAAAGTAAACCAATTCTACAGTCTGTTCTGGTCTCTGAGTCCACTTGGTCCTTGTTCACTTGGATTATAATTACACTGAGCTGCCGGCAGGAGCACAGGCAGTAGAAATAACTAACAACATTCCAATAGAAACACATGGAGGTACTGAACATTACAATTCACCTTGATATGACAAAAGTGCTGATATGTCTCTGTGTTTCTCCGCTCCACACACATTGCTAAGCTGGGGAGGGGAGAGCCAGACAGTGGAAGATAAGTCTGATTAGGATGAGTAAAGCGCTCTCCAAAGTCTGCATTACACATCACACCTGAGTAAAGAGGAGGTAATGATGAAATCAAATGGAAAAATAAGTCAAATCCAACAGTTGAACATGTCGGGTCTTGATGTGGAAGGTATCTATTTAGTAATGTAATCCAGATGGATTAATGCATGACACCCAGGGTAAAAGCAGTTCTTGTTTATAATTACACAATAACATGTAAAAAAAACTTTTTTTGATTGGCACTGGTATTTCTTTTGGTCTCATTTGGTGAAGTTACTTTTTCTTGGGACAACAACCTGTCAAATGCCAGTTTTCAAAAACACCATAATACTACAGAAATGCTGTAAACTCTGGGGTGTTCACCTCTGGAAAGTATAAAAACACTGATCATAAACTGTAAAAATGAGCCAGTCTTCACATCCGTTTCACACCCTGGTCACTGTGGGTGACTGGGACTCACAAGAGTCTGGATGACTCACATCCTGGTGGGAAAATTGTCTTTAGATGCAGATTTTTTAGCTTTTTTTCCCCTCGTCATGAATGAATTCTGCCAATCTCTCTTGGAGTCTGTGTTCAAAGTGGGTCACAGGAGAGAATCCAGAGTGCTCTCAGTACATGGCTACACCTGTGTGCTGGTGGTCAGGTTAGGAGACAGGAATGCTAGAAGGTCACAGCCGCGGTGCTCTTGTTCCGAAAGGTCATTGTCTGGATGCTAGAAAGGATTTTCCTCTGATGCCCGGCCAACGTCACTCCCATGTGCAGCAGATCCCTGAAAACAGAAAAAAGAAATCACTAATCAGAGAGGAAAAACCAAAAAGATTCATCATAGGACGTGATGAACAAAAATACCATTTCAGGGATCCCATTTTCTTTCTAGTCTTTAATAGCTACAATCTAGTCTGTAAGTATTTAGATAGAGTTATAAATGTTTTGTTCTTCAGGCACTGTACCTCAGCCCATTTAATTTGAAATAAAATAATGGATACTACACTAAAGTTCCAAGTCTCAGCTAAAGAGCTGTCTGGGAGATAACACATACTGTAGTGGCCAGAGTTCTGGAGTTTAAAGGTAACTGGATAGATGCACGAGTTCAAACTAAAGAGGTCATGAAGTCTTCCCTTGATCGCTGACAAGGAAACGTACCGTCTGTCTGCATCCTAGCGAGCATTCTTGACTTGACACATAACTGTAATGTAAATTACTGTGTTGTGCATATACTAATGTTAAAACACCACACAGCTGCCCAGGAACTATTTGATTGTAAAGTGTCCAATTACTTTGAAACACTTGCAATTTGGGTAATATGTTTTAAAAAGGACATAGTGTATCTCCCCACACACATCTTTCTATACTGACATAAACCTACTTAAATTAAAGCAGAGACTTGGCATTTTATTGTAGTATCCATTACTTAATTTTAAACTGAATGTGTAGAAGCACAAAGCTTGAAGAACAAAAAATGTTCACTGTCCAAACAGTATCAGCCTGAACGTCAGAAAACAATGGTCATAACCTTTCAAGAAGCTATTTAGCCTGCTTGCAAATGTCACTAGTGAAAGCAAGGCAACTCTCTGACCTTGTGGCCAAGAGGTGCTGACTGAAAAGTGAAACTGTTCCTCCAGAGATAAGTATCAATTTAGATAAAAAAAAAAAAAAAAAAAAACTGGAGACAGAGACTGACTGTGTGGTGATCTGGGCCAGCTGGTCCACTGAGTTGAAGCCAGCCTGCAGGAAGCTGTCTTCGTAGCGTTCCATCTTAATGGCCCTCAGCCACTCCCCCACTGAAGCACACGACGAGAGGGCTAAAGGTGCACGCTGGTCCAGCAGGGGATAGGATGGCCTGGGGGGACAGAGTCGAGAAACAAAGAAGCAATTTACACACACTGTCACCAAAACAACAGTGAGGTGCTTATATGTATCCTGCAGCAACATTCCAGCTGACATGCAGAGGTATAATCTGAGGCCGAGTGACTGACAGGGACAAACAATGGGATTTGTCAGGGGTGGAGTGTCCTATGCTGTATGCTGCCAGCTGACAGGCAGAATGCGGAGGAAGGGAAATGGGCACAGCAAGTGGCTGACAGGTCACAGCAGGACATAAAGGCGGTACATAAGACTGGGCAGCAGGAGGGTGTCCTGTGACTGTCAGAACTCCAAATGGACATGAAGAAGAGACATTATAAAAGGGTAGACCTGGTTTCTTTTTTATGTTCACTCTCGAGCTCCACATTTCCTGCTATTGTGACTTTTTCAGGCAGGTTTAGTGTCAATCACCAACACACACATGCGTTCTCACCCTGCTCCTTCTTGAGCCACTATTTTCAGTGACGCAGGGTTGCGGATCAGCTTGTCCAGAGCGCTGACCAGGTCGGCGAAGCGAGGGCGCACTGAGCGGTCCTTCTGCCAGCAGTCCAACATTAGCTGGTGCAGGTGGGTGGGGCAGTCAGGAGGCGGGGGCAGCCGGTAGTCCTGCTCAATGGCATTGATTACCTGATAGGAAGAAAGAAGATCAAACCATTGCATTAATTGAATGGTATTTAAATCAATACTGAGGTGCTTGGAGGGCTAAAAGATAAGTAAAGAAAAAATAAACTATACAGAACAAGAAGAAGGCAGAAAAGCCTGAACTTAAATTAGCACTGTACGACAGCTGCCTGGCAATCTCATGATTCAGCTGCTTTTCAATCAACTGTTGTTTTGGAAAAGCTCAGCTTCATGCTGTGCTTAACAAAACCTTAAAAATCATTGTCAAAATTTGCCCAACATGGCTTTTTGTTTAAACTTACATCCTGGTTGCTCATGTCCCAGTATGGTCTCTCTCCGAAAGACATAACCTCCCACATGACAATGCCATAGCTCCACACATCTGAGGCTGAGGTAAACTTTCTGAAGGCTATCGCCTCCGGTGCTGTCCAGCGAATCGGGATTTTTCCTCCCTGCACAGTAAAGAAAATAGTCAACACTCCAAAACTTAAACGGGGTTAGACAGGAAAGTAAACTAATAACTTAAGTTACTGCAGCAAAATAATGAATTTGCTTTAAATAAGATTATAAAGTGCTCTGTTTGTTAAAATGCCATACATGTACACTCCATATATTTCAACAAATATACAACTACAGTGTTAGAATAAATAAAATTGTTTAACATTATGCAATATGCACATCAGTCTTATGGATTAAAATTAAAACTGAACAAGAAAATATAAAAATCACTGTCTCCTGATCTCCCATTCACATGCTAGAGTGTTAAAAATAAAGTTTTGGATGACTTCTGTTCATATACAGATGTATGAATACCATCCTACAGGCAGAAATACTGTAGATGAATGTCATAATAAGAGGACTGTCGTCTCACCAGAGAGCTGGTGTAGGTCGGGTCAGAGGAGTTCTCCTGCAGGAAGCGTGACAAACCAAAGTCGGACACCTTACATACTAGGTTGCTGTTAATCAGGATGTTGCGGGCAGCCAGGTCTCGGTGGACGTAGCTCATCTCCGCCAGGTACTTCATGCCGGATGCAATGCCACGCAGCATACCCACCAGCTGGATGGGTGTGAACTGGCTGTCGTTCAGCTATGGAGGTGAGAAACACTTCAGTTTGAGTGAGAGAAGACACGATATCTTTCACTGTGAATGAAACACAAATGTGTTTCTTTGTATGTTCATCATCTCACAAACTGACCCGGAGAAAAGAGTCCAGAGCTCCGTTCTCCATAAACTCTGTGAGGATCATGACAGGACAGCTCGCTGTGATGATCCCCTCCAGGTGGATGATGTTGGGGTGCTGGAACTGGCCCATGATGGACGCCTCAGACAGGAAGTCCCGTCTCTGCTTCTCAGTGTAGCCTCCTTTTAGCGTCTTTATTGCTACGTAGTTTTCTTTTTTCCCGGGGATCCTCAGCCGTCCCCGACACACCTCCCCAAACTCTCCTGCAGCACACAGACACATAAACACACCTTAGAGGTGAACACACCACAAACTAGTGCACTGTTGACGCCGGTCCCAAGGCTAGATAAAATGGGGAGGGTTGCATCAGGAAGGGCATCCTGCATAAAATGTCACCAAAATCAAGTATGCAGATCATATACTAGGTTTTCATACCGATTGGGTTGAGACCCGAGTTACCAACAGTCGTCCCTGGTGCTGTTGACCAGCAGGGTAGGAACTATGCTATTGTTAGGTATTTTTAGTCAGCTAGATAGATATTGGTCAGATACTTTATGTATTAGAAATGTTTTAGAGTAGACAGGATGTCTAGCTCAGGCTGTTAATTGCTTACTCATTTTCATGAGTTACTGCAGGTTGCTTATGGTCAAGGATAACTAGAGAGAAGAGTTGATGACTGTCAGCAGACAGGATGTTTAATATTATTATTATGATGTGTATAACTGTAGCCATAGCCATAATATGTTCTTATGTTTAATGTCATGACATGTCACTAGAGGTTGTGTTAGAATGTCTTTAGCTACACACCACTTAATCAACAAACACACACATTGACACATTGATTTTTCCTCATGTTTTGGCTACTGCTATAACCAGCTGCAAAGCTGTCCCTGAGAGACGCTGTGGCTTGGCGTCTCCTGTTAGCATGGGATTAGCCCGAAGTGATATAATGTATTAGGCCTGTTGGGTTCGGGGTCTTTCATCTTTCAGCTGCCTGCGTGCATGTTGGAGGTGCAAGATACCTGAGCGTGTAATGTTAATTTTTACCTGTGTTCATTGAATAAATCAGCACTGTTTTGAAGCTACTTGGACTGCCTCGTCTCTCAGAGTTAGCATGGTAAAAAGAACCGGACTGCAACACTATTGTTGGGTGAAGGGGGAGAAGAAGAGGAGGAAAGCATGTCCAGAGAAAAGCAGGACAGGAGGAAGGGTAAGAGTGTGGAGGTGAGAGTTGGAACTTTAAATGTGTCTGACAAAGGAAGAGAGCTGGCTGATATGATGAAGAGGAGAAAGGAAGACGTACTGTGTGTAAAAGAGATTAAGCAAAAGGGGAGTGAGGCCAGCAGCATTGGACGTGGGTTCAAACTGTTCTACCCTGGTGTGAATGGGAAAAGAAATGGTGTAGGGGTAATCCCGATGAAAGAGTGCATTAGGGGGTGAAAAGAGTGTGACAGTGATGAGTGTTAAAATGAAAATTGAAGAGGTGATGATAAATGTCATCAGTGCATATGCCCTGCAAGTCATGTGTCAGATGGAAGAGAAAGAGGATTTCTGGAGAGTTAGATTAGATGGTGTACCCAAGGAATAAAAAGTGGTAACTGTACAGACTTCAGCGGGCATGTTGGTGAAGGGAACAGAGTTGATAAGGGAGTGATGGATAGGTACGGTGCCGAGAAAACGAATGTGGAAGGGCAGAAGGTGGTAGATTTCACAAAAAGGATGAAAATGGCAGTGGTGAATACATATTTTAAGAAGAAAGAGGAGCACAGGGTGACTTATCAGAGCGGAGGAAGGTGCACACAGGTGGATTAAGTCCCATGCAGGAGATGCAACCTGAAAATGATGAGAGAGTGTAAGGTGGTGCCAGGGGATGGTGTAACTAGTAGAATGACTCTGGAGGTGAGGATGAGAGTCAGACCTGAACAAAGGACCAGATGGTGAAGGAGGTAGACTGCTGTGTAAAATTCAAATAAGAGGAGAGACAGACAATGGGCGGGGTAAAGAGGTGCCTGACGACCATGAAACTACTGCCAAAGTGGTGAGATAGGCAGCTAAGAAGGTACTTGGTGTAACATTAGACACAGGAAAGAAGACAAAGACTTGGTGGGGAAGCTGGATATTTCAACAACTTAGAACTGGATTCAAAATAGAACCAGCTATTGGAACCCACCCCTAAATCAAAGTAATGGAGAGTGTGGTAGAGAAGTGAGGAAGAGAGAGCAAGCAGAGTGGAGTGGGTGAAGAAGAGCAGCAGGAGTGATTTGTGATGGAAGAGTATCTGAAAGAGTGAAAGAACATTTACAATACAGTAGTGAAACCAGCTCTGCTGTATGGTTTGGAGATGCTGGTGCTGATTATAAGATGCTGCGATTTATGTTGGAAGAGATGAGCATGGACAGGGTTAGAAATTAGTACATTCGAGGGACAGTGCAGGTCAGATGGTTTGGAGACAAAAGTGAGAGAGGCAAGACTGAGATGGTTTAGCCATATGCAAAAGAGCGATGCAGAGTATATCCAGGAGAAGAATGCTGAGCATG